CAACAAAGATCTTGCTTTTATAAAGTAAATACTAAGAAGAATGAAATTAGGTACGTACATTGAAACTTTTTTAACGCCCACAAGACTAAATGTTGTTTCATTTTGTTAAGAATACAGATTGCCTATATTTTGTTTGTTCTTGTAATTAAAATTAAACGGTAGCAACACTAGCAATATTTTATTGCTGTTCTAACAACTTTCAACTACAGTAGTAAGACTGGTAAACGATTGGTATTGGTAGTAAGAATGGTAGTAACACTGGCAATAAAGGACATTTCCACAGCGTCTTTAGATAAGATGCTTGTTTATAATTCCTAATTTAGATTAAGCGAATTACAACGCTTAAATTATATTTAACAGCATTACATATCAGCTTGATTTCACTGCATGTTATATACTTTAGGTATGCAGTTAAGCGACAAATTTTTCGTATAATGATTAGGAAGTATTTTAAAAAAAGAAAGCACTTAAAAGCACCTCCACTAAATAGCGACTCTAGCTAAAGTTGATTTTTGTAGTAAATGAATGGACCAAAGACAGTCATTTCCGTTCCTTTTTACTAACATATTAAAAACTGAAATTTGCAAAGTTCGAAACTTAGATATCAATACGAAATACGAAAAAGTACAAATAGAATATGAGTTATTTATTGAGTTTTGAAAACTAAATTACTTTTATATATGAAAGAAATCCGGAAGTGTGAAGGGGAGAAATCAAGAAAGTACCATAGCGACATCTAGTTTGATTTCGGGAACTAATATATTTTTTTAAATATGTACCTTCCTCATTAATTAGTGGTGCCACAAAATGTATGGTTATGGTTAGATGATTGCGCTGTCATGAATGACATGAACAGTGAAAAAAGTCACTATAGTTATATGCAATGTAAATTTTCCATTTAAATAAATAACGATACTTAATAATAAACTATAAAAAGGTGATTCAACCATTTAAAAATGGAACGAATAAGTATTGCTTTCAAGTAATAATACGAGAAAGTTTCTCTGAATTCTGTATATTGAAGTCGGATTATTTATTTTTATAAGTTACTTTTTAAACTTTTATATCTTCAGAACTACTGAATCCATTTTGATCAAATTTATGTTAGGATTAGGAAAGTTAGTTAATAATAATAATAAAAATATACAAACGTTACATTTTCAAAAATTCAGCACGCGTGTTTAGAAACCAACATAGAGTAAGTGACATTTGAATATTGTGGCATACCAACGTAATTAAATTTATAGTTTTGTACATAATCGTTTTTTTTGAAGTCCGTTAAAATTAAGTAATTTATTTTCAAAGAAACATCTAAAGCATCCTGCGCTCTTGGAAGTATTCGTTTATTTTCCCTCTGTGTTCATAAACTGTATAGTGTAAAATGTTTTGTGACTGCGTTTATAAAAACAGGTACGGATAAAAGACTTCATGGGTAACATAAGTTACCCATGAAGTCTTTGTGTATTCAGTCTATACTACGTATTTAATAATTGTGTAGGTTACTTGTTTGTGAACAGGAGCCGAACGCTCGCGGCGCGCTCGGTCAAGGGCAAAGAGATTGAATATCTTAATATTTATCTTTATACAATAATAGCTTTCGCCAGCGGCTTCGCGTGGTCCCTAGGGGAATGTTTAGTGGGATAAAAAGTATCCTATTATCTAAGTTAGCTAATACCCTATCTGTATACCAAATTTCATCAAAATTCGTTCATTACTTTTGGCGTGATTGACCGACAAACATCCAAACAAAGAAACTTTCACATTTATAATATTAATAGGATTTAAAATTCTTAATCAAGGGCTCAAGACACAGTCCCGTAGTGGCGACAATCCCCCGGGATTGCGGTCTGATTTTGCAATCTCAGGATGTTTGGATTCTTTTCTATCTCTTAAATTTATTTATTAATTTAGATTAGTTTTACTAATCTTAAGTCCGATATGCATCGAGTTAGCGAGGTTCTCCGAGATCAGCAGTGTACCTACAAAAACTATAATGTCTTCACTTATTTAAATTGTCAAGTATGTGTGAGAGAAAAATCTCAAACTGGAATAGTATCTCAAGATTTTTCAATGGAAATCGGGCCTTTACTTCGGACTATTGATTTTTTCGGCGGATAACTCTACCCGTACCTATATGTGACAAGGATCTATTATCTTTTTACCATGACCCCAGCAACATTGTGTAGATAAAGCATAAATTATTCATTTATATTTAATTTAATGCTTTACGCACACAGTACTAAGGCGGCCAGAAAATTTGGTTTTTGTGCAGATAATATAAAATTAAAGGTAAGTGCATAATAAAACTTCAGAAATTAAACCAACATATACTTACATACAAATTTAAATTACGAAATTAGTTAAATGAAACTAAAGTTTCACGAAACTAATTTCGTCATCGTCATCACCAGCCTATTGCTATCTCCACTGCTGGGGCTCAGTCCAGTATAAATGGAATATAATCAGATCGAACAGGGAGAATGGGCCATGTTGCAACTTATATTAATTTTGACCTCTAGATGGCGTTATGGCGAATTACATTGCGATAATAAAATATTTCCATCATTTTAAATAAATATGTAAAATTGGTTAGAAATAAATAAATCCGTTCTGTAAGTCTGAATTTTATTCCTCTCCCCACGATTCCTGGGATTTGTACCGAAATTGTACAGGCCATGATCCACTACGCGGGCCCAGCGCAGCGACGATTTGTGGGTATTTAAGCTCGAGATAAGAAATTTTCGGTCACCCATCCTATGACTGGCCATTGAAAAAGTTGCTTAGTAACCGAATCGAGCGCGCTAACCACTGCGCCATCGAGCTCTACGAAACAACTTCCTTAACGGTGTTCAATCAACAGATGGGGTTGTAGAACAAAGGCCCGTTTTACCTTAGACAGAGTTGTACCTAAAACGATTCTATTTATATTTTAAATCTCGCGCTTTTTAGAACATTTGTCTATGGTATAAGATACGTCATTTGTCAACATTAACGTGAAGTTAGCCATGATAAGTCGGCGCCAAGCGAGCACAGTTAAAAAACGGTCAGTTATTGTTTATACACGGAAAAAGTAGGTTTTTTGAGGTTTATTTCTTGGTCATTTATCAAAAATATTACATGTTTGTCAAAACTATTTTATTTAGAATATAATATTAGCATATCTAGCTACAAGACGGCGTGAGTAGGAAATCCTTACCTCAATTGGAAGTGGGTTTTCAAAGCTTGTTAAATAAAGATGCCGCGATGTACTACCCAAGCCACTCAACTTATCTCGTTCACTGGCCGATACATAAACTTGCCGTTCCAAGCTTCAGACTTCAAAAAACCAGAGGATCATTTCTGGGTAAATGTATTGCTATGTTCAATAAAGTTCCACAAAATGTAATTGACCTACCCATAAATAAATTTCAAATACATGTAACGAATATACTTATGAGTAAAGGCTATTATAAAGTTGATGATTATTTTAAGGATCGCAATGCATGGAATTAATAGCCTTCGGTTTGTTCTATAAAGACTAATTATATGTTCAAACTATGACCTACAGACTTTGAAAGTTGTATTTATTATTGTGATAATACATATTATTTTGGTAATGACATGATTTATGTAAATGTCATTACTTATGATAAAGAGCTGGTAAGTTTCTTTCGCTTGTTCTTCTTGTCAGCTAAAAGACGTCCTGAACAAGTGGTAAGGGAAAAAATTTTTTTTTTGGACGATTCAAAAGTGTTTGTAATAGCCTATTTGAATAAAGATAATTTCATTTCATTTCATGATAATATATTACTGTAGATGGGATGTACCAGCTACTCTTGATTTCTCTTCTTCATTCTTCTTCTGCTTTTGATCAAGTATAATTAAATAATAATAACTCATTTCATTATAGAGAAATTATAATATATTAGCGAGTGAAGTGAATCCCTCACAACAGTAGACCGAACATCAATGACACAGTGGCTTTCGTCTCACGAAAGAAGTCTCTCGGATCACAAATGTTTTCGCTTTTATAACAAAGCAATAAGAGTTATGCCGCGGAACTTTTTTCGTGAGACAGACTTTAGGTATAATGTATCTACTGTGCCAATGAAAAGGAAGGATCGAGGAAGTAGGGTTGGACTATTTTTGGAGAGAAAATCGGGACAATCGTACCATGTCGTACTTTCAATCCGGAAAATCGGATATTGACCAAAATTTGGTTATCAAAAGACTGCTGGGGCTGGGACCCCCTAATTCTCTAGCCATAACTGTCGTTAAAGGATATGTGTCATCTTAGTGATGTTATAGTATGAGTGTTATGGCGATTTTTTGTTTTATTTTACTACTTTCAATGATAAAGCATGAGGATTATGGATTTGACAGCCATGTGACCAACTTAAGTCATTTAATCCATTTTATCCACCACTAGATATGACAAAGTAGTGAAATGAAATGGAGATATAACATCATTAAGATGTAGTATTTTATGACTACAGTTTTAGCTAGAGAGGCGGTCGCTCTGCAGGAGAAATAAAAAGTAATGAGGAATATTTAAAAAAAAAAAATTAGTTCCCGAAATCAAACTAGATGTCGCTACGGTACTTTATTTTTAAAACTCAATAAACAACTCATATTCTATTTGTAATTTTTCGTATTTGTATTGATATCTAAGTTTCGAACTTTGCAAATTTTTAATATGTTGATTAAAAGAAACGGAAATGACCATTTTTGGTCCATTCGTTTTCTGCAAAAATCAACTTTTGGTAAAGTCGCTATCTAGTGAGGTCTTTAGAGTTAATTTTTTTCTTTAATATTTCCTCATTTTCAATAGAAATTTTTCGCGCAAATCGTGTGTACGGATTGATTCGATGCGTTCTGGATATATTATATGCTCGAATATCAAGTCTAGACCCACCTTTATCTTGTTTACAAATAGAAGAGCAGATAACGAGTCCTATCTACTCATATGTTGCAAGATAATGAAATCCAAATAAAATGATAATGTGCATAAAAGTATGTAATCTTTATTTAACAGTCGAATATCTGCGTAATACACTTTAAACGTCTTACTTGCCTTTGGAACTATGTCTTTGAATACAATCTTAACTTTTCTAGCTACCATAGTTGTGTTAATATACTATTACTTAAAAAAGAACAAAACTTACTGGAAAAAACTGGGAATTATCAGCCCGAAATCTCATATTTTGTTTGGCAATTTCAAAGAAGTTATTTTGAGGCAAACCACATTTTTCCATCAGATAGAAACCTTTTATAATATGTATCCCAATGAGAAATTTATCGGATTATACCGCTTCAATACACCAGTACTTCTTATCAGAGACTTGGACATTGTCCAGCATATATGTGTACGTGAATTCGACAGTTATATGAATAGAGGCATCGAATTTGGTGACAAACTCAAAAATAATCTTGCTTCCAGCAAGGATGACACTTGGAGAATGCTTCGATCGCGTTTCTCACCTCTGTTCACTTCTGGTAAACTGAAAAATATGTTACACCTTATTAATAGTTGTGGTGATAAAACGCTGGAGTATTTGGAAACATTGGTCTCACAATCAAAAGAACACGACATTCTGGACATCACAAAGAAATACTCCGTCGGAAGCATCAGCGCCTGTGCATTTGGTTTAGATTTGGACATGAAGAATCCAGATGAGAAACTAACAAAGATGGAAACGTTAGCGTTCACAAATTTCTACACTTTAGAATTGATCTTTTTATGTCCTGGGCTTATAAAGAAGCTAGGCATTTCTATCGCACCTAAAGAGATTTCAGTTTATTTTTGCAATCTCGTTAATTTTATTAAGAAACAACGTGACCGTATAATGTCCAGTAGAAAAGATTTTATGGACTTACTTTTGGAAATGAAGAACTCTACTGAATTGAAAAGTGAGTGTGTTGGTAGCAACGAAGAAATTGTGACAATCACCGACGAATTAATAGCGGCACAGGCGATGATATTCTATGTAGCCGGTTTCGATACTACAGCTAACACACTTTCGTTTTTACTTTATGAAGTGGCTAAGCACCAGGATATCCAAGAGAAGATGTTAAAAGAAATAAAGCAGGTCTTGGCGGATAATGATGGAGAAATAAGTTTGGAAATTCTAAAACAGCTGACTTATATGGATCAAGTGTACGATGAGACACTCCGAATGTACCCTATTGCTGGTTTACAAAGAAGAGTATCTGTGCCATCTTGTAAACTACTTGATACAAGTATAACATTGAAAAGGGATGCTATTATTTATGTTTCCGTCCGAGGTATCCATTATAATGAACAGTATTATCCGGATCCTTACAAATTCGACCCGGAGAGGTTTTCTCCGGAAAATAAGAAATCAAGACATCCATGTGCTTACATACCATTTGGTTTTGGTCCACGACATTGCATAGGTAAGTTCCGAGTCTTTTATGGAAAACAATAGTTTAAGATATTCTTTTTCGGTTAGGTAGGTATAATATTCATAAAAAAATAAACTGGAAAGAACAAGGCGTTTGAAAGATTTTCAGTGAGAATATTTTTGTATCTGAAGTTTTTATACCTTCTGTGTTCTGTGGTCCAGTCTGCCTCGTGGAATCTGCAGGGAACATACATGGTTTCTTTTTCCCATGGCGCCTTTTATTCACTCCCTACATTTTTTTGTTTCCTGTCTGTTCTTCTGGGGCGTTGATGACTTTATATTAATTTGCGAGCTGGCTGAATTTGAATCTCTAGGTATGTTTGTTGAAATGGTGTGCCAGGAGTTGCTTAGATAGAACTTGCTTAGATAGTGGTAGTCTTTTTATTTTACGTCTATTTACGCTCACTCTGAAGATTTCAACGACGTACTGGTTAGTGCGTTCAGTCGGTAATCTCGAGCTCGTCTGTACTTGAAGAAGGTATGCTAAGCCATTGGACCCGGCTGCATCTGCACTCGTTTCCACTATTCAGCACTGCCTATCCAATTTAATTTCATCAAGACCCGTGCCTCAGCAGCGGGAACATTACTAGCAATAATCTTCAACTTGATATTTTTGCAGGTATGCGATTTGCCAAGGTCCAAGCGCGGGTCTTTCTCATAAAGTTTTTGAGTTGTTACAAAGTGGAGCTTGCTGCGGATACAAAGGAGATTACTTATGACACTATGAAGATCACGCTAACTGCAAAAGATGGAATCCCATTAAAGATCACTAGAAGAAATTGACTGATATATTGAAATTATATTTATTGACATAGGTGGTCCAATATCTTATCGCATTGGTTAAATAAATGACCTTATTGGAGGATGATAATAGTCACTATAAATTCGCTTTAAGCACAAACAAAATCGTTAGAAGGTAAACTCTAACTTTTAGAGAGCGATAAAGCGTCTCTTATTGAAATTCGTATGCAACCGAAATTAAATAATGACAATAAACACAAATTCATCAATTTAATGAAAAACATTTATAACACGATCGGAAAAGAACAACCTTTCCAAAATTTAGAAGTGCGAAATAAATCAAACGCGGTAATTATGGACTTCTCAACCATCTCTAGAAGAGATGATATAATAGGAAAATTGAAAGATCTTAATAAACAGAAAAATAAAAAGAATTATCAAGCTAACCCTCATTGAATTTACTAAATTTGCCTGGACCTACAAAACTGATCTTCCTCTCTGAACTACTCTCATACAAAGCAAGACGTCTCTATTTTCTTAAGAACAGGAAAATTTTAGCTACTAACCTGGACTTCACATAGAAAGGTAATTGTTAGGAAAGAAGAAGGACATCCCTCGATATGCATTAGCGAAGAAACCCACAGAACACCTCTTTTCCGTGTTCTGTGGAAGAAACCGACTTACACAACTTTTTTATAATCTTTCCCAGTTTATTCCTCATTATTGCATGTTTTTTTACTACTGTTTATTTAAAGGGAAGAAATATTTCACAATCTGATAATTATTTACTTTTTTAATTTATTGCATACATAACTAAACTGCAGAATGAATTATATGAAGAGGGAAATGTAATTGGAAAAATCGCAAAAATCTTAATTACATATTTTTTACTGTGAGTTCTATTTTTGAAGCGGAATCAACTTTGCTGTTGTTGTGTAAATTACAAAAACGTTTACTAAGGGTCGGTTTTTTGATCCATTTGTTAAAATCTTCGACAAATGGTTAAATATCAGAAAAATATATTTTTGATTAATAGTAAGGCTAACCAATTGTCAGAATTCCAACTATTGGTCAAAAAATTTAAAAATCACTTGAAGCTAGGTTAAGCAAATTACCAATAGTTAAAAGAACAGATGTACAACTGTGTTGTAATTATTTGGTCCCTTGTTATTGTTTTGTTACGTTGTTTGTATAATTTAAATGATTCATGGTGAATTTAAACATTATTTATTTATGAAATTTCGTTTTACGATGCAATTTCATAGGAAAATATTCATTGTAATTTTTGGGTTTTGGGTTATTGAAAATAAATTATATTTTTATTTTGATCATCCTTAGTGTAGCAGATGGACTGTAGGCTGGATTATCAACAGGTAGGTGGCAGAGGTCGCAAATAAAACGCTTGGTTCGGAGAAAACACGGAGAACATTCAGTGGCAGAACATGCTTTATTGCAAAAACCCGATCACTTAAGTACATTTTGTTTGCTCGCACTTAGCTCATATATTAGTCAGTTATCTTATAAGATTTTGCAGAGTGGGGGTATGCTACCCCGCACCGCGCGGGGAGGGGAAGGTTTCGCTGTGGTCCCGCTGGTGGCGCTGCTGTTGAAACGCGGCTCGATGTCCTTTACAGCTCTCCCCCCGGCGTAGCCTCGGCGCAGCCCTCGCTTCTCGGAAGGACAACGAGTTTTCTTGTAGGGCGTCGAAACACTCCTCCCTTCGTGCGGACGTCGGCGCTCCGTGTGTGGCCGTCGGGTCCCGGGTAGGTTGCCACGATGATACCGCGTGGCCATGTGTTACGCGGCAGTGTTGAGTCGACGACGATGACTAGATCTCCCGGCTGCGGCTGCGGTTCCCCTGGTGCGGCTGTGGCTTGGCGTGGTACGAGTGTAGGCAGATATTCTCGCACCCATCTTCTCCAAAATTCGTCGGCGAGGCCCTGGCTGGCTCGCCAGGTCCGTCGGTCGGCTGGCTCGCAGGGCCCGGTGTGTGGCAGACCCGTCGACGATCCCAACAGGAAGTGGTTGGGGGTGATGGCCTCCGGATCCCTCGGATCGACGGAGACATGTGTGAGTGGCCGGCTGTTCACGCTGTGCTCGGCCTCGATCAGTAGGGTTTGCAGTAGCTCTTCGGCAGGTGCCTTCTCGTGCAGGACGGCCGTGAGGGCAGTTTTGATCGACCTCACTAGCCGCTCCCATGCGCCTCCCATGTTCGGCGCGCCGGGTGGTATGAAGCGCCATGTCATGCGGCGCTGCAGCCCCAGGTCTTCCAGCGCGGGCTTCCATTCTTCATAGGCGGTGCGTAGCTCGGTATCGGCGCCGCGAAAGTTGGTGCCGTTGTCGCTGACCATCTCCTTCGGCCAACCTCGTCGCGCAGCCATGCGTCGCAACGCCAGCAGCGCTGAGTCGGTTGACAATGACCCCACGAGCTCCAGGTGTACGGCGCGGGTAGTGAGGCACGTGAATAGCGCGCCCCATCTCTTCTCACGACGTCGTCCAATCTTCACGAGCATCGGCCCGAAGTAGTCGACTCCGCAGTAGGTGAAAGGCCGGTGATATGGATCGACTCGCGCAGCGGGCAAGTCACCGAACACCGGCGTCCTCGGTCGAGTTTTCCTTATTTGACACGTTGCGCAGTCACGTGCCACCTTCCGTACCGATGACCGGAGGTGTAATATCCAGTATTGTTGGCGGAGGTCATTGACAACTTGTTCCCTCCCCCCGTGATTCGCCATCCTATGTTTCTTCATGATTAATAGGCGGGTAAATGGGTGTCGGCCGTCTAATATAGCGGGTTCCTTCGTTTCGGCGGACACCTTTGCCGCGCGTATCCTTCCATTTAGGCGCAGTGTGCCGTCTCTCATGACGGGATCCAACTTGAAAAGTCGACTCGACTTATTTACAGCCTTCCCATCGCGTAGGCTTCTCAGCTCCGTGCCGAAGCTATCTTGTTGCACTCTTCTTATCCATATTCGTTCGGCTTCCTCTAAGTGACGGACTTCGAGACGTGTAGCGCGTCTTCGACACCGGTCGACGAATAATAGGACGTATGCGGTAGTCCTGATGAGCCGCTCGTATGATGAGAAGCGGCCGATGTCGGGAAGGCACGGTTCCGGCTCCTCGGTGGTGTAGCCGATGACTTCGATGTCTTCGTCCTCTTTCCTGCACTCTTCTTTCGCCCATGTGTGTCTCGGTTGGCGTAGGAAGGCTGGCCCGATGAACCATCTGTCTTGCGCGGTCACCTTCTTCCGCTTGGTCCTTGTCGCGTCGTCGGCCACGTTCTGCTCGGTGGGGACCCATCGCCAGTCTTTTGATCTGGTGCGTTCCGCTAACTCCCCCAGGCGGTGCGCTACGAACGGCGTGTAGCGACGCGCGTCGTTTCTTATCCAATGGAGGACTGTCTGACTGTCGCTCCAGTAGGTAACGCTGTCCGGTTCCCACTCGTGCTCGGTGATGATGGTGTCGGCCAGTCGTGCGCCGACGACCGCCGCCTGTAGCTCCAGTCTCGGTATGCTCTGAGTCTTCAAGGGTGCCACCTTTGATTTAGCGGCGGCGAGCACGACGGCGATGTCATCGTCTTCTTCCAGTCTCCAATAGGCGGCGGCGGCGTATGCCTGCTCGCTCGCGTCGCAGAATACGTGCAGCTCCTTGCGCCTCGCCGCGCCGTACCAGCGTGGTAGGCGCAGCTGCGCTACGTTCTCTCGTAACTCGTGCAGCCATCCGTCGAAGTCATTCGCTTCGTCCTCCGGCAGTGGCTCGTCCCAGTCCAACTTCTTTCTCCACAGGTTCTGAAGAAGTATCTTCGCTCGTATGGTGAACTGGCTCAGTAGTCCCAACGGGTCGTATAGGGACATGACGGCTCCCAATGCTTCTCGTTTTGTAGGCGGTCGGCGTCGCTCGACGACTTCTTCCGGGACTCGGTGCAGGGCCGTGTTGAACCCCAGGTGGTCGCTCTCGGCGTCCCATAGCAGGCCGAGCGTCTTGTCCGGTGACGGCGCAAGATGTGTGGTGCTCTCCTGTCGCAGTCCTTCTTCGACGTCCCTTAGTGCGTCCGTCGAATTGGAGTTCCAACCTCGTAGCTTGAAGTTTGCTTGCGCGTGCACGTGGACCACTTCGTTGACCGCGCGCCTCGCTGTGCAGACGTCCTCGAAGCTCTCGACGAAGTCGTCCATGTAGTGGTTCTTCGTGATCGATTTGTGCGCGACCGGATGGGTGAGCGCGAAGTCATCTGCGTTGCGGTTGCGCACGCTGTGCGCGATGAACGGCGAGCTGGATGCCCCGAAGATTACAGCTGTCATCTTGTACTTGCGTGGCGGCTCATCCGCGTTGTCCCGCCACAGGAACATCTGAGCTGGCTGATCTTCCTCTCTCACGCGGATGCGAAGGAACATTTCTTGGATGTCCGCCGTGACCGCGACTGGACGCTCTCGAAACCGGAACATGATTCCTTGCAGCGATTGCAGCAAGTCCGGCCCCTCCAGTAGTAAGTCGTTGAGGCAGATTCCGTGCGACTTCGCGGCGGCGTCGAATACTAGGCGCACCTTTCCCGGCTTATTTGGGTTGTAAACGGGGAAGTGTGGTAGGTACCACCTTCTAGGGCTCTCTTCTTCGCTTCCGTCGCAGAGTGCCGCGTAGCCCTTTTCTAATAGCGCTTCGATTTCTTTCTTGTATCTAGCGGCGAAACTCGGATCCTTTCTGAACTTGCACTCGACGTTCCTTAGTCGCCGTAGTGCCGCGTTGTAACTAGGTGGGGTGGTGACGTCATCGTCGCGCCACGGCAGCCCCACTTCGAACTGTCCATCTTTTCGCCTCGCCGTTGCCTCGAATACCTCCGTGGCTCTTCTATCCGTATCCTTAACCTTCGTCGTCGTGGATACCCCGAGCGCGTCGATCCGGAAGTGTTCTTCGACGATCCTATGTAGTCCGTCATCTCCACAATAGTCGCCGATCGGCGTGAAGACATGCAGGATGGCTTCGGTGTCTTGCCCATAGATGACGCGCGGCATCGTTCCGTGGATCACCCATCCCAACTCTGTGCGGGAGGCGGCGGGCTCGTTCCTTTTTCCCATCTTGATCTCGCGTGACACGATGAGATGCCAATGGTCGGCCCCGATGAGCAGCTGCGGTCT